TCATCTAAGAGAATAATAATAGTATTAATTGTTTGATCATTACACTTTACTCCTGTCTTCTACAGTTAGTTTTTCACATGGAGTAAGTAACCTTAAAAATAAATCAGGTTACTTTTAGACAAAAGAAGTAACACCCCTATTGAAATAATTAGAAGAATGAAGGAAAGATATATATATATATATATATGTATATATATATATGTGTGTGTGTGTGTGTGTTGAACCAAAGAAAATGCAGTCCTGTGATTCCCTACAATGAAGAAAAACAATGATGTGATATAAAGGGAAGACATTTTGGTTATCCTGTTTTGCCACTTAGAGGGTTCCTAGAACATGAGTCTTTCAATGTTCAGTATTGGCTAAACCAGGCTAAGTTCCTGCCTTCAAAGCCTTGTGCTTATGTCAGTAGGCTGCTGGTAGGAAGTTGATGGGAACCACACAAGGCTTGCCAGTCTTGGTAAGATGAAGAAATGGAGGCAGATGTATAGGAAAGTCAGGAAGCTAGGATTGGAGAGATGACTACCAGAGTAAAGAAGCTTCACAAAGAAAGGGAAAGCTCTTCAGAAACACAGAAGGGTCTCCTCCAGTCACAGGCTGAGTTCTGATGTGGACATTCACTAGAGGCAACTTTTCTAAGCATGGTGAGGGAGATGACATAAAAGATGAGTTACAATATCCTTGGGGGTGTACAAAAGGCTGGCTTTCATTTATGATGCCAAGGTCAGGAAGGGAAATGTTCCATAGTTAATAAACATCACATCAAATCCTCAGAGGGCCACTATTTTAGTAATGGGAGTAAGATATCTCTAGATGAATGACTTCTGATAAGATCCAGCTGCCTGCAAGCAACGCAACTGTGTGCCCAAACAACATAACAGCATATTACTAATGTTATTTTAAGAAATACAATAAGAAGTCTCCCACTAAAAGTGTGTGAGGTTTTATATGTAATCTGAGTTTTAGTAATATTTCTTTTACAAATGTGGATGCCTTTGTGTTTGGGGCATAAATGTTCAGAGTTGAGACTTCATCTTGATGGATTTTTCCTGTGATGAATATAAAATGGCCTTGTTCATCTCTTTTGATTAATTTTAGTTTGAAGTCTAATTTCTTAGATATTAGAAAACAAATACCAGCTTGTATCTTGGGTCCATTTGATTGCAAAATCTTTCCCCAACCCTTACAAAAGAAGATGATGGAGATACAAATTGGAAAGGAAGAAGTCAAACTTTCACTATTTGCAAATGACATGTTAGTTTATGTAAGTGATCCAAAAAACTCTACCAGGAAACTCCTACAGCTGATAAACACCTTTAGCGAAGTGGCAGAATACAAGATTAACTGTATCCTACTATAGCCCTACTCTATACAGACAATAAATGGACTGAGAAAGAAATCAGAGAAACATCACACTTTACAATAGCCACAAACAACATAAAATATATTGGGGGTAATGCTAAGCAAACAAGTGAAAGACCTGTATAACAAGAACTTTGAATCTTTACAGAAAGAAATAAAAGAAGATACCAGAAAATGGAAAGATCTCCCATGCTCTTGGATAGGTAGGATCAACATAGTAAAAACGGCAGTCTTACCAAAAGATTCAATACAATCCCCCATCAAAATCCCAGCACAATTCTTCACAGACCTTGAAAGAAAAATTCTCAACTTTATATGGAAAAACAAAAGACCCAGGATAGCCAAAACAACCCTGTACAATAAAGGAACATCCAGAGGCATCACCATCCCTGACTTCAAGCTATATTATACAGCTATATTCCTGAAAACAGCTTGGTATTGGCACAAAAACAGACAGGTAGACCAATGGAATGGAATTGAAAACCCTGATATTCACCCCCACACCTACAAACACCAGATTTTTACAAAGAAGCTAAAATTATACAATGGAAAAAAGAAAGCATCTTCAACAAATGGTGTTGGCATAACTGGATGCTGACATGTAGAAGACTGCAAATAGATCCATATCTGTTACCATGCACAAAACTTAAGTCCAAATGGATCAAAGACCTCAACTGAAATACAGCCACACTGACCCTCTTAGAAGAGAAAGTGAGGGATACCCTTGAATGAATTGATACAGGAGATGGCTTCCTGAAAATAGCACCACTAGCACAGACATTGAGATCAAAAATTAATAAATGGGACCTCCTGAAACTGAGACGCTTTTGTAAGGGAAAGGACACAGTCAACAAGACAAAATGGCAGCCCATAGAATGGGAAAAGATCTTCGCCAACCCCACATCTGACAGAGGACTGATTTCCAAAATATCCAAAGAACTCAAGAATCTAGTCACCAGAACACCAAACAATCGAATTAAAATTGGGGTACAGAACTAAATAGAGAATTCTTAATAGAGGAATACAAAATGGCTGAAAGACACATAAGAAAGTGCTCAACATCCTTAGCCATGAGGGAAATGGAAATCAAAACAACTCTGAAATGCCATCTTGCTCCCTTCAGAATAGCTAAAATCAAAAACACCAATGATAGTTTATGCTGGAGAAGATGTGGAGAAAGGGGAACACTCCTCCACTGATGGTGGGATTGCAAACTTGTGCAGCCACTTTGTAAATCAGTATGGCAGTTCCTCAGGAAATTGGGAATCAGTCCACATCAAGATCCAAAAATTCCACTAAGCATATACCCAAAGGATGCACATTCATTCAACAAGGACATCTGTTTAACCATGTTCATAACAGCATTATTTTAAAAGCCAGAACCTGGAAACAACCTAGATGCCCCTGAACTGAAGAATGGGTCAAGAAAACATGGTAGATTTACACAATGGAGTACTAGTCAGTGGGGAAAAAAAACAATGGAATCTTCAAATTCATAGGCAAATGGATGGAACTTGAAGAAACCATCCTGAGTGAGGTAACCCAATCACAAAAAGACAAACATGGTATGTACTCACTCATATATGGATTTTAGACATAGAGCAAAGGATTACCAGCCTATAATCCACACCACCAGATAAGCTAGGAAACAAGTAGGACCCTAAGAGAGGCTACATGGTTCCCTGAAGAAGGGAAAAGGGACAAGATCTCCTGAACAAATTGGGAGCCTGAAGGGCAGGAAGAAGGAGTTAGGAGAAAGAGAAGGGGAGAAGAGGAGTGGGGAGGAAGACATGAGGGACTAAGAAGATTGAGTTGGGGAAAAACAGGGGAGAGCAAGAAAGAGATACCTTAATAAAGGGAGTTATTATAAGTTTAAAGAGAAAGCTGGCACTAGGGAAATGTCTAGAGATATACTAGGATGACCCCAACTAAGAATTTAAGCAATAGTAGAGAGACTATTGTAAATGCCCTTCCCTGATAATGAGATTGATGTCATCCTAGAGCCTTCATCCAGTAGCTGATGGAAACAGAAACAGAGACCCACAACTAAGCACTGTGCCAAATTCCTGAAATCAGGTTATAGAGAGGAAGGAGTGATGAGCAAAGTGGTCAAGACATGCTGGGGAAACAGCTGACCTGAACAAGGGTGAGCTCATGGACCCAAGACTGACAGCTTGGAAACCAGCATAGAACAGAACCAGGCCCCCTGCAGATTGGTGTCAGTTAGGAGGCCTGGGCAATCTACAGGGTCCCTGGTAATGGAATAACATTTATACCTAGTATATGAATGGATATTGGGAGCCCATTCCCCAAAGAGGGATACTTTCTCAGCCTAGACACATGGGGGAGGGCCTAGGCCCTACCCCAAATGATGTGAAAGACTTTGATAATCCCCTATAGAAGCCTCACTCTTTCTATGGAACAGAAGAGGCATGGGATGGGGGTCAGTGGAGGGCATGGGAGAATGGGAGGGATAGGGAACTGCAATTGATATATAAAATAAAATTTTTTAATTTAAATAAAAAAGGAAAAAAGAAATACAACAAGGTCATGAATGTAAGAAGAAATCAATGAACAAAAAGGGAAAAGAAAGGCCAAGATGATTAAAGTGCAGACAATTACTGTAACACACACACACACACACACACACACACACACACACACACCCCCTATATGTTCAGAAAGACTAAGCAAAAGCTGAGCATGGTAAGAAAAACAGGGGTAAACATATAAGAATATGAAGAAGTGTTTATAGGCCAAAACTATACTGAATATAAAATGCTCCTTGGAGGTTTGTACCTGACTAGATACCATAAAGAAAACATCAGTGAACTTGAGTATATATCCTAAAAATTAAAAAAAAATATGAGTATCACTGAGATTTGGGACAGTAACACTAATAATAATAACACTAGCCTCCATGTAACAGGAGTTCCATAGGGAGATATGGACAATGGAAGACTTGAAAGAATGAAGGCCAAAATTATAAAATTTGATGAAACTAGAAACCCACATGTGCTGGTTGGGTTTTGTCAACTTATCATAAACCTAGACATAACTAGAAAGAAGGAATCACAATTGAGAAAATGCCTCCCTAAGATTGGCCTGTAGGCAAATCTGTGAGTCCATTTTCTTGATTAATGATTGATTTGCAAGGATTCAGTCTAATGGGAATGATATTACTCATTGGTGGGTGATCTTGGATTGAATAAGAAGGCAGGCTAAGAAGACAATGAAAGCAAGACAGTAAGCAGCATCCCTCCATGATGTCTGCTTCCAGATTCCTGTCCTTCTTGACTTCCTGCCTTAACTTCTTTCAGTGATGGACTATTACCTGAAAGTTTAAAAGGAAATGAATCCCCCCCTTGCCCAGTTGCTTTTGGTCATGGTGTTTCATCACAGCAATAGAAATTATAGATAAATTCAATGTATCTAAAAAAATAATAAGCCTCAAAAAAGAAGCCAAGAAAAATGGTGAAACTGGGAATAAGATAGCAATAGAGATAAAATCTTGAAAACAACAGGAGCGGGTGTAGACGTCATAGATGGAAACAAAAATAAGAACACGGTCATCCTTCATATCAAAACCATTCTATCCAAATGGCATTAGAAAGAAATGTTTAAATTACTGAACAACAAAAAACTTTTAAACAAGATTTCTTTATATGGTAAAAGTATCTTTTAAAAAACAAGTTAAATGAAGAGTTACATGCAGACAACAGGAGAGATGACTCATTACCCAAAAATGGGAACTTCAACAAAAATTGAAGAACAGTTTCTGTCTAGAAAATGTATGTTCACCATAGTGGGAAAGCTACAGTGGTGGAAGCTTCCATCTGTGGCCACATGAATGTGGAACAAAGGTCCTTTACTTGCCATGGGCCAACATGGAGACAATGTAGGCAGGAACCAGGCCTGCTCCCCATGACCTGAGGCTCAACCCTGACCTCACCCCTTAAAACCTCCACATCCTTCAAAATAGTACTACAGCTGTTTAAAACATGAATTTATCAAGTGTAGTTCAGGATCAAACAAATAACCAGAGTATATATTAAATTCATTTATGTGTTTAGTCACAGGTATTGCTAAATTGGATAAAAAGATAGTAGTCAACTATTTATTATCTGAAACATACCACTTCATAAATAGATATCTAAAACTAATAACAAAAACATGCCAATAGTCATACCACATGAACACTAATCAGAAGAAAGCTGTGGGGAGAGGGCATGAGAGGGGTTAATGGGATAGAACTGACTAAAACTCACTACACAAGTGTATGAAATTGTTAAGGAATAAATGTATTCATTTAAAGAAAGCTTGAGGTGACTGCATTAATAATGACACTTTATAGTCCCAACACTTCAAGTAGGGAGGTTAGGCACCCCACTCTTAGTGACTGGTTAAGAAAGGAAAGAAACTGAGGATGTAGAAAATATTTGAACAATGCTGTCAGCCACTTTGACCTGACAAAATGTGTCACAGCTAACAGTGGTGTGCTCATTCTTGAGGCGAGCACAGAGTCACTCAAAAGGACAGATAATATTCTGCACCCGAAACATGTCTCAGAAAGTTGATACACAAGGTATATTCTCTAAATATTAGAGAAGTGAACTTTAATTCAGCAACAGAAATGTATATTTGAAAAAACGATACCCTCTAAGTACCTGGAAATTACCCTGTGGGGAAGAAGGAAATCTCAGAGATGTTTGAGAAGGTCTGATTCTAATGAAAATGAAGACATAGCATATCAACAGTAACACAGTGCCATTGGGGCAGGGCTTAGAAAGTTGGTGGCTTTAAACAAATGTTTATGTCACAAAATGTCAAGACACAAAAGTATGACATGAGCAGAGAAAGGGCTGGAAGTGTTCAAGCCACCTAGTCTATGCTACTTGGTTGTAACATCTCTCGAAAACTAACAGAAAGAAGAAAATCCAAGTTGGGGGTATGACGGGTGTCAGGAGAAAAGACAGTGGGGAGAGGATTATGTTGTGAGGCCACTGGAAGGAATTAAATTTTAATTTTGGTAAGTGGGAATCCATTGGAAGGTTTACAGCAGGTCATTAATATGGCCTCACTTTGGCCTTTATGAATACTGGGACTTGATTATGGCAGGCTCATATTGCTAAGGCAGTCACAACTGACAACTGTGCGGAAGGGAAAGGGCAAAGAAGATTGAAGAAGAGAACACCAGAGTGCTTTTCAACTTCCATTTACAGCTGAGAGTCTGTGGACCTGGAAAGGTATGTAACTTGCCCGACACGACACAATAATTGCAGAGTAGTCATGGTGACAGGATGAGACATCGTTGCTCTTTCTGATTTTGTTCTGGGAGAGGGGTGCTTTTGATGTCTTGTGTTAAAAACGCAGGTTTGATATTCTGATATTTGAGGCAAGCTGGGTTTCTCCCTGTGAAGAAATATTAACACAAATGAGCTGTAATGGCCATGGAAAACATGATGATACTCAGCTGCTCACCCACGATTCCACAACCCAAGGACGTATGGCTGGAAGACCCTCAGGAACAAATGGAAATTTTTCATGGCTCTTGTCACATCTGCTTCCTCAGATGTCCTTCATGGCACATCATTTCATTGGAAAGACAATTTTCAGAGATGATCGTATGAAGGTCTGACCTCTAAACTATTCTCCAGATTGCAAGCAGAATAGCCTCCTAGTTAACAAAGACCTGGCAGTGTGTGTGTGTGTGTGTGTGTGTGTGTGTGTGTGTGTGTGTGTGTGTATGCATACATATACATGTATATGTGCATTGAAAATATACTTATATAGAAATAACAAGCATGCAGGTAAATAAGTAAATGCTTCATGATATAAATGGGCTCAATACAAAATCTACAGGTTATTGGAGTGCTTTGGTATAGAGATCTGAGTACAAATCACAATTATGACTCTAACTATGAACTTGGAGCTATTGATAAATTTCAGCAAGATCCAGTTTCTTATCTGAAATAAAGGATAGTAATGAGAAAAATTTTAACTAGCATCCAATTGTGGTAATTAAAAAAATGGGCAGAAAGAAGTTTAAGATAATGCCCAGACTCAGATATGTGCGTGTGTGTGTCTGTGTGAGTGTGCACACGCATTTTTTTCACTTACTTGGATTTTACTAATGCCTTTGCTATATGCACTGGAAAAGAAGGAGCATCCTATTGCTAACCATGATAATTATTTTAAAATCATCACTCTGAAGATCCTATTTCTGAATACATTACAACATGCTAGAGCCTATGACTTCAGCCCATCAGTGGATGACACAATTCTGCCCACAACACCTTTCACACTCCACTCCAGTCAAACCAACTTTCTGTATACTCTTTACTCTTGACTCATGGCCTTCACACAGGCTATTCTTCTTAACTGGAACACTGCAAAGTACAGTAGTGTCCACCATATTCTAGTAACTGTATGCCAGTCCTTGGCCAGAGCACACTTGTATCCCAAACTTTGGTCTCTGCTTCTCTTTCAGCGTGTTTTCTTTTGTTTTCCAAGGCTTTAATCAAACAGAGAACACCTTTACAGTTTGGCTTCCCTTGTTCTCCCAACCCAGTCCCTGACTTGTCTCTCCTTCTCTCAAGGCTCCCACAGATTGTGCTGATTCATCCATTCCAAGGAAATGCATACACACACATAAAAAAATGCCAGGTGACTACCAGTCACTGCTCTAATCTACGAATGCACAGAAAAATGTTAGGCTCAAGAGCCTTCAGAATTCTTGAGTATTGATAGTTGTAGTGCACATGATGTCTGATCAGTCCAGAGAAAGGATGTTGTAGTGAAGAGATACCATGAAGGTTTCCAGAAAGAGTTCATAATAGAGCAAAGGTCTGAAGGGTGAAAATAGCCACATATATAGTGAAGGAAATAAATTTTTTTAGACTTTGTTATTATTATATGTGAGAAAGTCAAAGCAAGAAGCAATAGGGAATGGACAGAATAATGGACAAGGAATAACATGAAATAATGGTTTGTGGTGGGTATAAGGTTAGAACATAAAATAAAATGTATATGTCAAGATACGGTAATTTGAAAACTCTTGCAAGTGTGTTCAACCATTCAACCAATGGCCAGGGTTACATGTATCCTACAGTAGTGATAAAGGCAGCCCAATACAAAATTGTAAACTTACTTAAAACATAGGACTTTTCCTTGATTTTTTTTAACTCTAATTGTGCTGCTCTTAAGAACTAACTTTTTAAATGGCAACATTATGTCATGGTATCAAAAGATTGAACCCATCTGGAATTTAGAAAACAATACAACATTTTTTCATCTTTTTTTAAAATTTGAATTAGAAACAAGATTGTTTTATATGTCACTCCCAGTTCCCAATCTCTCTCCTCCTCCCCTACCACTCCCCCAACTAAAACCCTACCTATCACATATCCTTTCTGCTCCCCAGGGAGGGTGATGCCTTCCATAGGGGGTCATCAGAGTGTATCATATCCTTTGGGATAGGACCTAGGTCCACCCCTGTGTGTCTTGGCTCAGGGAGTATCCCTCCATGTGGATTGGGCTCCCAAAGTCCACACCTATGCTAGAGATAAGTACTGAACTACTACAGGAGATCTTGTACAATCCACACTGCCAGAGAAGCTAGTAAATAAGGAGGACCCTAAGAGAGACATACACGGTCCCCTGGAGAAGGGGAAAGGGACAAGATCTCCTGAGCAAATTGGGAACAAGGGGGGGGGGAGGGGGGGGCTAGGAGAATGAGAAGGGGAGAAGAGGAGGGGTGAGGAGCACATGGGGGAGCAGAAAGGTTGAGTCAGCAGAAGAATAGAAGAAAAAAAAGAAAGGAGATACCATAATAGAGGGAGACATTTTAGGTTTACAGAGAAATCAGGCACTAGGGAAAGGTCTGGAGATCTACAAAGATGACACCAGCTAACACTCTAAGCAAGAGGAGAGGCTACCTTAAATGCCCTCCCCGGATAATGAGATTGATGACTAACTTATATGTCATCATTTAGCCTTCATCCAGCAGCTTGTGGAAGTAGAAGTAGACACCCACAGCTAAACACTGAACTGAACTGGAATCCAGTTACAGAGAAGTAGTGATGAACAAAGGGGTCCAGACCAGGCTGGTGAAACCCACAGAAACAGCTGACCTGAACAACTGGGAGCTCTTGGTCCCCAGACTGATAGCTGGGAAACCAGCATGGGACTGATCCAGACCCCAGGAACGTGGGTTTCAATGAGGAGACCTCAGAAATCTACAAATACAGCTAGACAGGATACAAATGAAAATGGAACAAGAAAAATCTAAAATAACTACCAGGTTCCAGAGTTTTTCAACAAAAGAGATGACATTGTCATTAATTATAAGAAGGAGAAATAAATTTGGTTGTAGACACACTGGGTATCTACAAGATGTATTTTTGAAAAAAAAAAAAAAAACACCACTAAGCAGGGGGTTACTAATTTCTTTGTCAAGTGACAATGCATATTTAAGGACAAGGAAAGTCTGGGGGGGTGGGTGATACCTGCCAGTCACCTTTTCCTCCTTGACAGAGTTCAAGCTACATGCTGTAATCTTAACCGGTGCAAAGGATACTTTTATATGGGATTGTTTTCATGTGAGAGTAAGTATTACTAAAAAGAAATAGTGCACCAATGGTTCCCCTTATTCCAACATTTCCTGAGGCGCAGATGTCCCATGGATTCTCAAATGAGGGTGGATGACTCAGCATGGTGCTGAATAAACATTGACCATACTACAATAACAACATAAAATGTTCGTGGTCCCATATTGTAAAAGAAAATACGTGCTTAAAGCAAATGGAAAAGGCTTCCCAGACACCCATGTGTTTTCATTTGACCAGACAAAGAATACATTTTCTTTTTCATTTTCCAGATGAGGAAGCTGACTGTCAAAAAGATTAAGTGATGTGTTCAAGGTCACTCTTGGTCTTTAGTATGCAAGACAAAGTCTCTTGCTTTCTAACCTCGCTTTTCCAAGACATCAAACAGGTGATCCCAGAAAACCAGGCTAATGAAGGATAATGGAATGTGTTCCCCACAATGACTTTACAGTGACAGCAATTTAATCCTCTAAGTATCCAACTTGGGCTTTTCCACTTACCAGTGAAATTACAGGTGGAAAGTATTAACCTTGACACTCACATTTCTCCATTGATCCTGTTTGATAGCTATTGATAGTAAGGAGACATGTGTCCATCATCCAGTATTCCAAAACACAGCCCTTCAAAGTAGAGTAACCCACAACACAAAAGGTTCCCAGGTATCTTGGCTCTGAAGGTTTACAAAGTCAATGTCATGTGAATTGTGATCATTGATGTCTCATCAGTTCTATTAGGAATTCTCTAAGTGTTGATTCTCCTTCTAAGACCTGCTGACATAGCATACTGATCATGTCACTAAAGGACAGTGGCACTAGTGGCACACATTATCATCTGCAAAACACCACAATCCAGAAGCTGGAACCCTCAAGTTATTTAAGTCAGTTTACATTATTACAAATGACCGTTTATAGAAGTCTTTATTATATGTGCATTCTTCTGTATTACTTTTTGTTGATGCTTGTGGTGTGAAGGAATAAAATGTGAAGGATTCACAAATCATTTTTCTTTTTTTCATGTAGTAGGACATACTATACCATACCTACCTTGCCTTTAGATATCACAAGAATAGATAATCCTCAAAAATGACATCAGAAGTTCATCCATTGAAACTTCCTTATATCAGCCTTCATTTTAATAAGAGAAACTAGGGTCTAGGGGTATGGCTCAGCAGTTAAAGCAATTGCCACACAGCCTGAAGACTGGGATTTGGATTCTTAGAGCCCACATAAACTCTGGGTGCATTTGGCAGCTCACCTATAATTCCAGGACGGTAGGGAAAGGAACAAACTGGCTAGCATGACTGGCCATACCAGTCATCTCTGGGTTTGACTTAGATGCCGTATCTCAGTGAAATCAGGTATAAGAGCAATGAAGGATGATTCCTAACATCAACCTCAGGCTTCCGTATGCATGCACACTCACAAACATGTGCCCAAGCAATACAGTCACATCGCAAACATGGGTGGTAGGTGGGGAGGAAATTAGTGAGATTCTTTCCTTCCTTCCTTCCTTTTTTCTTCCTTTCTTCCTTCCTCCCCCCATGTGTTTGTATGTGTGTATGTATGTGTGTGTATGTGTGTGCGTGCGTGTGTGTGTGTGTGTGTGTGTGTGTGTGTGTGTGTGTGTGTGTGTGTGTGTGTGTGTATGCATATATTTCAGGTGTGTATGTGTGTATTTGTGTGTGTGTATGGGGGGTGGGGGGTATATTGTGTATGTGTATGGGTGTATATGTGTGTGTATACGTGGGGAGATGGGGTTGGGGGCGTGTGTGTGTGTGTGTGTGTGTGTGTGTGTGTGTGTGTAGGGTGTGTGTATGTGTTGTGTGTGTGTGTGTAGGTGTGGTGTGTATGTGTGTATTTATGTGTGTATGTGGGGGGTGGGGGGTGTGTATGTGTGTGGGTGTATATGTCTGTGTGAAGACGTGGGGATGGGGGTGTGGAGGGGTGGGGGATATGTGTGTGTATGTGTGTGAGGGTGTGTGTGGGTAGGGGTGTATGTGTGTGTTTGTGTGTGTATGTGGGGGGGGGGGGGG